GCAGTATCAAGGCAAACTGCATGGACGGCGTTGCCTTCGTTGAGCTGTATGCCGTAAACAAGGACTGCTTGAGTTCTGATATGAAGCTGCTGCCACCGACGTCGATGGCTCACGTCATCGTTTATTTAGTTTTTTCGCTAAGCCAGTTCCCGGCCGACACGGTGCAGGCGTACAGGTCACTCGAGGCCTGCAAATACTTTGCGCTGCTTTCCGCGCTGCCGGCGGGATCAGCAGACGGGGGGTCTGCGGTCTGCGGAAGTGTATATATTAATGCGAAAGGCATTAACTGTTTCATGGAGCGTAAGATCCCATTGGCTAGCACACGTCCACAGCCAATGGCACCTTTTACATTGCTGCGATCCCATTGGCTAGCCAGCGCCGACCAGGCACCCACTCGACGGACACTCAGCGCCATGGGGTGGTCAGTCGTTGAAACTGATGCCCAGCGCCAGTTTCAGCAACCGGCCACCTCATGGCGCTGCGTGTCCGTCAGCGCCAGTAAGTGCACCAACAGAGAAAGTCGAAAGCTTGCCTTGTCTGTATGGCTCTAGAGAGAGAGGCTGTCTCTCTAGAGCCATCAGTGAGCAGCAAGAACTCATTTGCTCATGACTGCGTGACCACGTGCTGGCGCTGGTGAAAGGAGGAAAGTCTCAGCCGGATTCTGCCATCCCCGTCCAGCCCTGTCCCCTTCCCCCTTTGGCTTCTGGCGGCTGTTCGCGGTAGCAGATAGGGCCGACGGTTTTGTGGATCTAGGATTGATGGTGCCACTAAAACTCCGTATAATACTAGTTTTATCGATAATGCCAGGTTTTTAACACATTTATATTTATGTTGGAACGACAAGATTTATAGAAAAGTTAGATTTTATCGAGCAGGTATTCGCACAACTTGCTATCTTTCTACAAGACCCCCATTGACTTTGTGCCGCGTGGTTATCATGCCGCTGCTCGCAGCTGCAGGTCGGGGGAATATTCTAATTTTCGCCTCGCGATTACGCGGCGGAATGGCAACATTTCGAAGGAAGGTGATGTGTTTTCTGTCCTTTGTGACAAGATAAACAATGTCAAAAGTAGAAGATGCTAATTCTTTTAATGTTAAAATCAGTGCACAGCTCCTTTAAACAGCGTTCCTTTTTCAATAAACGGCATTCCTCTAAATGGAGACTCCGCTGTCTTCAAACCATGCTTCAATAAAACGTGCCCAGTCTCTAAAACATGTTTAGATAGAATGGAGTTTGATCAACCACAATGAACCTTTTGGTTCAACACATTAATGCACATCTGAACTAGTAACCCAAATTACGAGTTGAATACCTTTTTTTTTTTTTTTGTAAAGTTACTGGAGTTCCCAATTTGGTTGTAAAAGCTCTACTGGCAACACTGAAATTAAAACTTAAAAAAAGAAACATGATGTTCTGCCCCCTGAAAAGTGCAGGAACATCTGTATGTTGGTTTTGGCATTACCCTTGTTTGCCGTTTTCTCAGTAGGTATTTTGAATTTAGGGATAATAAATAGCATTTCGGAGAGAGTAAAGTCTGGGTATTCCAAAATAATGTTGTTAGAGTTGCGCAAAAATCTGTCGGACCTAAAGGTGGAGTGGTGCGCACACACTAGTTGTCACACACTCCCCATTGCTTTTTTCTGTGTCCCTTGATAGTCTTTATGTAGACTCCACAAACATCTTACGGAAGAAAGCTCGGAGATGATCTAGTTTATTGGTGGAAATGTGACATCTATACAAACCTTTGGGAAAGGGCTCTATGTAAATCGTCGGGATATTTATATTCCCTCTCTAATCATATTCTAAAGAAGAGATGTAAGGTACTGCAACACCCTAGAAAGCCAGAGACTTGCCAAAGGTGACATGAACAAAACTTTATTCGACAGCTGAACATACAAGCTCCCACAAAACAAAACAGAAAATCGACAGAAAAAGAGGCAATTATTGTGTCTTGATCCCATCGAGACTTATATGTATCCTTTAGACCTTGCTTTTTTTCAGGCAGCAACAACTTTATATTCATTCATGCTAGTGCCTCTAAGGGCTAGACAAAAACAAACTTCAAACTTAAAAATTTGTGAAGTCATGAATTCAAGCTATTGAAGAGAAGGCATTCGGGCAGGATGAACATTTGAAGGACCTTTCGCCACTGTGAACGATTTGTTGCCTGTTCATTTCCTGTTTCCATCTTCACCTTTGTAAACTGTCTTGTGACTATCCAAGTATACTAAAACATACTGGGGGAGGTGAGGTACTTAAATGGCTTTTGGCCCATTTCAATATTCTGGTGTTAACACAGATCCCATTTTTGAAAGAATGCTATGCCACAGCTTTCACATTTCTGGGCCATTCCACATTTCTAATTCCTTATGAATATTCATGCTCAATTTCAAACTGAACACATTTGGGAAGAAGGTATCAATCGTTTCAGGCCCATGTCAGTCACGGTTGTGCTTGTTGAAGCTCCATCTCTCTGTGAAGACAGTGTCACAGGTTATGCTGTTTTGAATTCCTTGATGAATACTGAAACTAGACTAATTTATAAGCATTTGTACTGGTAGGAAATAGAGAGCCCTTCATTCATGCAGTCTTGCATGAGCAGTCCACTGGCCTTTTGATAGAAATGTGCTTCCATATGACAAGTCAGGTGACCCCTTTCCTGAAATTTCTGGAGAGAGACACCTGGAAATTCTGAGATTTCTTAGGGAAGTTTGAGCATCTATGTGATGATTCTTTTTATGCATAGTCAATCGCCACTGCATTCCAAAGGCCTTAGGGCAGGTGGGGCATTTAAAGGGTTTTTCACCTGTGTGAACTAGTCTGTGAGATGTTAAGTGACCTGATGTTCGAAAGGCTTTACCGCAGAGAGTACATTTAAAGGGCTTTTCACCACTGTGAACCCTTTCATGTTCTGACAAGTCATTTCTAAAATGAAATGTTTTAGGGCAGGTAGAGCATTTAAAGGGCCTCTTATCCGAGTGAGTTATCTTGTGAGCTGTCAAATGGTGGAATCCTCGAAATGCCTTAGGGCATGAGGGGCACTTAAAGGGCCTTTCATCTCCGTCAGTGCTCTCCGAAACATCTGCCTTATTGCAGTCGTCGCGTCTGAGGTGCTTTGTCAAGTTATGCTTCAGCTTAAATGTCCGTGGACATGAGGCGCACTTGAAGGGTTTTAGGTCGACGTGTACGTTTTGGTGACGACTGAAGGTGCTTTCCCACGAAAATCTTTTGCCACAAGTGTCACATTTGTAGGGCTTTTCACGTGCATGAAACTTACTGTGAGCAAGCAAGCAGTCCTTCTGCCGAAATACTTGAGAGCAAGCGGGGCATTTGTAGCGTCCTTTCTTTCTATGTGTGTGTGTGCTTTCATGCACGGCGAGTTCGCTCTTGGAGCTACCAGAGAAGGGGCAGAAGGAGCAGTCATGGCCCCTGTGCCTATCTTGTCTCTCCTGCTGTGCTTGGTCCCATTGCTCTTGGGAAGAGAGCGAGCTGCCTCTGTTTTCCTTAGAGTCGGAGCTCTGGCATTCCACATCAGCTGGCTCTGTTGGGAAGACGCACCAGGTAATTTTGTTTTCTCGAACCGGAGCAGGAGTAAGAAATCCTATACATATCCCTTACAGGAGAGACAGTTGTACAGATGACAGAGGCATTCTGATAAGGAAGACACTGGAATCCCCTTTGTTTGTTAGTATTAGAGTATGAAGAAAAAGCCTGACTTGTTTGGCTGGTTTGAAAGGCCCACGGAAGGAGAGCTCCACACACTAAAGTTCTCGCTGGTAATTTCTGGAGAGCACGCCTTAGCGACAGTGACATCTATCTGAAATTCGTTTCTTCTTTTCATTTATTTTAGTTAACACTGAGCCTACACGCATCTGTTCGAAACAACTGTGTGCTTGATTTTGCTGCCTTGCCTGAGCTTGTGTGTATTGTTTTGGTCAATACAACCATTGTTATTGTTTGTTGTACAACAACGTTGAGCGCAACTTCGTGCTTGAAGGGACTGCACTTTGTTCTCCTTTAAGCTGAGGCTGACTGCTGGAGACGGCATGCGTAGTTTCTAAAAAACCATTTCACATTTTTCTTACTCAATAGGCGGCGTACCTCTGCAAAAAGTTGAATCATTTAAGTACCTAGGGGTGATCATTACATCGGATCTACGATGGAACGATCACATTGACTACATCTCAAGACGTGCTTTCCAAAAGCTAGGGTACCTGAGACGATCCCTGGGGCGCACCAGTGTTTCAGCGAAGCTGACTGCATTCCAGACCTACGTGCGACCTATTCTGGAATATGCCGGAGTGGTCTGGGATCCGCACACCGAAGTAAACAAAAATAAACTGGAAAAAATACAAAGGAGGGCGGAAAGGTTTATCTACAACTCCTATAGCTGGTCTGTGTCTCCCAGCCAGCTCCTGCAAAATGCCAACTTCGAGAGTCTTGAAAATAGACGACGGAGAGATCGATTAAAATTCTTCTATCTAATCATTAATGACCAGCTAAAGATTAACAAAAACAAGTATATCTCATTTTTTCAGCCACGATTAACAAGACGATCCCATCAACTGTCAATAAGGGAATTTTCTGCTAAAAACAATGTATTTTATTATTCATTTTTTCCACGCACTGTTAGAGAATGGAATTCCCTGCCAGCTGACGTTGTGCATAGTTCAACCTTGTCTTCATTCCTTTCCCAAATCGGTTAGAAAAGTAAATAGTTGTTGTACGTGTGAGTTGCATCTTGATTGTATATTACGCATTCTATATTCGCGAGTGTTTTCCGATGGGATTGGATGAGCGAGTCACTTTGCTTGTCTGTGTCGCGTTGCAGCAGGGCGCTGCCGAGATTTTGAACTGTGTATAACGGCACTTTTTTCTTTTTTCTTTTTTTCAAATATGTACAGTTTTACTCCTGCTATCGCCTCCACGAGGTGAGCAGTATTAATAAATAAATAAATAAATAAATAAATAATAGAGTGGGACTTCAAGAGAAACTTGCCTTCCTTTACAACGACAGTGGCCCTGTGGACTACGTCCACAGGCTCGAGGGAAACGGAAAGCCTGCAAGCGTCTTTACTGTCCAAGTCCCCACAGGTCGAAGTGGCACTCGCCCCATCCACCTCTGCCAAAACAAATGTGAAAAGAAAAATATCCTTGAAACAGGCAAGGTAAAAGCATATAAAACAAGGAGGCCGATCCCATTACAACCCCCACTGGTTGGCTTCCCATTTCACTCTGTTGAGTCCTTTCATGATCTCAAAAATCTTGTTTTGTCCTTCTCTGGCATGAGAGTAACAAAGGAGTCCTTCAAACCACTCTTTACTAAATGAGAAGGCTCTTGCATGAGCTGCCGAAGTAGCGACTGCAATGGCAGCAAAGCCAGCCTTGCTTGTTGCGCACAAGCACGATTGACAGGCACACTGTCAACCATGCTTGCGACCATCCAACAGCACTGTACTTTGAGCCACGGGCGACTGGATTATTTCTAGTTGTATGATTAACTAAATAAAGGAAAATAATAAACTGCAGAACAAAAAACATCTTCCAGGCACCGGTTTATGCTGTTCGGGGCTACACATGGAGCTTCGCCACAATTGCATTTTCCCTCGAACAGAACTTTTAACATCATCCTTGCATATGATGACAAAAGGGTTATGTGAGCCAGACAACTGAGATCATTAGGATTTCTGCAAATGTCTAAAAAGCAGAGGCTGCAGCTGTATTTGAACTTGCCTTCTTTCACCGCACAGCTGTTGTTCCAGTGTCCCTCTAGGTCCAGACGAGAGGGCAACACTTTGTCGCTGTCTTCAGAGCGAAAGTCGGCTCTCGCTGGCATGGCCAGTATCTTGTATGGAACTGTTAGAGGGTAAAGGACACAAATTTTGTCAATATTTCAGGAAAAAGAGAAACATGTATCTGTTCGCTGCGGTAAAATGAAAGCTGTGCTTTCTTTCATTGAGAATGTTCTAATCTCGACAAAACTAAAGAAAACAAGGTACTGCAAAATCCCAAATGAATGCTTACCTAGAGTTTAGGGACCAATGGAAGGGGGGGAGGAAATATCACGTGAGACATCTTTGAGGATGAGACAGCACAATTTTATACAAGAACAATCTATAAACATGCTGGTACCTACAAAGAACTCACATGATACAGGAAATGACATTGCACCCACATCAAGCTAGTGTTCCCTGGAGCTGTATTATGATTTTGAAGAATTTATCACGGGCAATTTTCATAACCCATACGAAAAATTGCCTGTTGCGTCTAGAAAAAATCATAGCCTCTTTCTGCTGGCTAGTGTGAAAAACAATACTTGCGACAGCAGTTTGCATGAGCACCACAGTAAAAACGGGAATTGTGCTCAGGGAGTGAACAAGTACCAAGTGAAAGAGTCTGGTCCTTTGCAGTCCTTTGCAAAAATTTTTATTGAGTAAAACAAGATTGTTTGACCCAATTTAAAATATGAATGCATAGACTGGAACTCTGACATACAGTGAAGCCTGTTTAGAACGAACCCACGTACAGCGAACTATTGTCAATATCAAACTCACGGAATATTTAAATAAAAATGCATGTAAAAAGTACTTTTTATAAAGAACAAGATATTGGCTATATCGAACCGTTTCCCCCGGGAATGCTTCCAAAAATGCGCAAACAACCGTCTTCTAACCTTCCCCCCCCCCCCCCCCCCCCAAAATAAAGTAGGAAAGAAAAAAAATTAAAAGCTCGAGCCGCCAAAAAAATTTACAAAGAGAAGCGATTCAGAATGGGAGTAGCTAAAAAAACACTACACCCAAGCACAAAAAAAAAAAAAAAAAGACTTCATCCCAAAGTGGGTGCCCACGAAGAGAAGTGATTCAGTAGATGAGATAAGCTAAAAGAACAAACATTGCACGCATGCAAAAAAACTTTTTAGCGCTTTGTTACAAGGTGGAAGCGAAGAGATGAGAAAGAGAAGCACTCGCCTTACAACGAACGCATCGTGAAAGTTTGTTGTAAATGGTTTTTGCTATATCAAACTACCTGCTATATCGAACTGATCGCAGCGTTTCCTGCTGTTCGTTATAAACGGGTTTGACTGTACACGGATATGAACAAAAAATTTGAGAAATTAGTAATGAAGGGTATATCCAAACAACAAATCCAGCAGATACATGCACAAACATGATATGATAATTTAATTCCCTTTCTCTCCACCTACCATGAAAGACAGCACAACTAATATCATTCACAATTTTTCAACAGGCTGAGCATTGATCTACCGGGTGTCCGAAATAGCGGCCAGGCTCTTTAAATCGACCGCAAAATTCAGTTTCCTAACCAATCGCGCTACGATTTTGTGCAGTGTTGCGCACAGATGGTGCATTTTTTTTTTTTGTAAAATTTGTAAAGAGTGAATTTGTCTGAGGAAAAAGTAAAGAAAGCAAAAGGCTTAACTGCTATGAACAATGCAGCGAAGCCACCAGTCTTCAAACCATAGGGTGCCCTATTGTTTAAAGACCGGTGGCTTCGCTGTGTTTCCATAGGAGTTAAACCTTTTTCTTTCTTTACTTTTTCCTCAGGTAAATTCACTCTTTGCAAATATTGCAAAAAGGACGCACCATCTGTGGGCAACGCTGCACAAAATCGTAGCGCGATAGGCTAAGAAACCGAATTTTGCAGTAAATTTTAAAGAGCCTGGCTGCAAGTTGGGAAACCCGGTAGAACAATATCTGCACAAGCCGACTCAAACGCCTACTAGAAACCATCATCCACTAAGTCTGACATCTCTAGTTTCGCACCAAGAAACCTGCTAAATATTTCTATATTCCCAACACTACTGACAAGCGAAAGTACTCGGGACAAAGAGTATCTCTTGGTTACCTGCCAAACAAGCACAATGGTTTCATTGATATTAGTACCACAACCTGCATAAAGCTGTAAAAAAAATTGACTTTTATCCTTCTTGAAACAATCAACACGGATAAAGAGAGCACAGGAGCTTGCCTTCAATCCCGATATGACCATCTTTCCAGGGCTCGCCCAGGTGAACTTGCAACGACGACGCATTGTCAGAGGCCCCAGAGCACAAGCCCTCGTCGGTCTGAAGGAAGGCCGACTCGCCCGGTTCTGTTGAAGAAGGGGATTGAAACGTAAGTAAGGAGAATCATTATGCCCTGATTTAGCTTTCACAATTGCTGTCCACCTTTTCTCAACCTTGTGACCTGCAACTGCTATGCCAGGCCTCTGCAAGCAGACTGACATCCTACCCCAAGGATACCACAAGCATGAAAGCAACAGCCTGCAGATGCTTGTCACATGGTCACTTTTTACTACTATGAGGTTCAATAGATGAAAGGCGTACGCCGCCATCAAACCATTTAACTCTTCATTAGAACTAAAATGAAGTCAGTTGTGGTGCCACCTGACCTGCACAGAGCAAACCCTCCTTGATACATTCCCAGCTGAATCATTTGATTTACTCTCACATACAGATATGCCAGTACTCTAAAACTTCAAAGGAACTAAAGGGTGACTCAGTCCCAAATTGTGCAAGGACAAGTCATGTCCTGAAAATGTCTCATAAGAACTGTATGTCTTGAACAAATTCCTGCTGCTGCGCGAGCATGTGGCCTTATTTGGTTTCTTCTTCGCGTGGGATTGCACGTGAATGTGATGTAAGCGAAGCCATGTGTTCGCACTGCAGCCGCAGTGTGGAAACTATGCTATGATTTGTTTCACCATAACTTAGCAAAGAGCAAATGTTCGAGCCAATCGGAGCGATGAAGACAAACTGCATGATAGCCCTTACCAAAGGTACAGGAGCGAGGGTGTAACCCAAGCAGTTTGAGAAGTGGAGAAGGAACGTCCCTCTTACCCGGTCCCTCCTTTGTGTGTTCCAGACGTCCCTTTTGTCTCCGTCGGAAATTGGCCTGTCACTCAAAATTCATAGAAAGCTGTTTTTCCTTTCTCTTCCGTCCGTGGCTTCGACGGCACTTCGTGCAACCAGTAAGATGATGTACGGTCATGTCTTCCCCTTCAGCGCACTGATTGGCTCACTGCAAACATAGCCTTCACTATTTGCCAAATTACAGTAAGACGGCGTATTGCACCGACAAAGTCGCACAGGAAAATTGACGGCGGGTATAGCTTACAATGTCAACATGCCCTGCAATCATATTTTAAGTGTGTGCCTTTTTTGCGGTTTCCACGTCTCTTGGGGTTCGGGCAAGCCAGCGGGCACGGAGAGAGTAACTAAAAATCAGTGCATCATATTTTAACCAGACGACGCGAAAACCTCCTCCACCGACGGGGGCGACCAGCGGTACCGAAAGCGCGCGAAATGTGACGTCTTTGGCCCTGGGCTTACTACTGGTCAGAGCCGCTAAAAGCTTCTTTTTAGTCAAAATACAAAATATAAGTGGTGCAAACCGTTTCAATTATTTATAAAAGTAGTTTCCGTTCAGTATTTTAGATCAGAAAAGAAGCAAATGCGGTTTCTAAAGTACGGAAGCAAGAAATGACCCGTCGACATACCCGCCACCAAGCGGTGGAAAAGGGGGCGCATACTAGAAAGGAGTAGTGGGATCACGCGCCAACACGGAAAGGTCTCGGATGTATGCGGCGGCGCTGCGGTCGTTTACGGACTGGAGGATCCGACCGGCTCCGAGCGTTCCAAAGGCCTTCAGTGAGCAGCTTTGTCTTGCGTTTTGGCCGTTTTGCGGTAGGGCAGCGCGAAGTGGCTCCCATTTTGAACTGATCTTTACACCGTATTTGCTGTTGTTTGTGGCCAATGAAGTGTCATGCCGAATTAGTGTTTAATAACGTAGCAAATGCAATGAGAGCCGCTCTGGCTGCCCGCTGTATACAGCCTATCCAGAACACGCTTTAGTGGCGCCCTCTCGCGCCGTCGACACGGAGTGCGGCAGCCGTTTGCGCTCGCTGAGCTCACTATCCCTCCTCTAGTTCACGGCCACGGAAGCAACCAAGGACGTCACGAGGGAGGTTATTTTTTGCTTGTTTTTGTAATTTTAATTTGCCTACAACTTTTAAAATAAAGCAAAATTCGAGAAAAGAAAAGTTGCATTAAGTTACTGCGGTCAGCGCGCTCAGGTTCGGTGCAAATTAAAAACCAGTAAAAAGTGTTTGCAGGGCCCCTTTAAGTGTAGTGGTGGACCTGGAAATTTTGCCCATCATCACTGCCTGCGGCTATGAGAGCGTCCTTGGACACAGATGCTTTACGTGCAAAATTCGCCACACGGGTCTCGATGGCTCACCTATCTTGACTGAGACGGCATTGTTCCCGTGTTCCTCTAGCTGCAGTGGATACATAGACATATTGCCGCAATCGTCAGGCTCCATGCTTTGATCTGTCGAAGTAGGAGGTGCATCCTCAGGCTCTGTCAAAGAAGACAGGACACCAAGGTTGCGGCAACTGAGGTCAGAAGCAGAGCCATAGTCGCTGGTCAAAACGAAAAATTGCACCATTCCTTCATAATCGTAGCCTGCATCTAACAAGAAAACTTGCCCTGTCCCGCACTATTGTGGCAAAGGTCGTAGTAACACCGAATGCATTGTGTAAACTGCTTTGCAGTGATGTTGCACATAAACTTGTACACGTTTTGTGCCTCAAAAGAATGATCATTGCTGTGCATGGTGCGTCCTGTGTTTAGCGATGGGACGCTAAACGCAGTGCATTTAGCGTTCCATCCCGCCCATACATCAAAAGTGGTTCCGGAGTGGCAACGAATGACGTCCCTGAAGCCGGGGTGTGGATGTTGCGGTCCTGGCGGTTGGTAGTAGAAATGCCGGCGAAAAGCACAAGCGAACGCAAGTGTCCCTGTTGTCGCGGCGTCCCAACTTCCTACTGCTGTATCTTCCATGGACTGTCACAGTGAAAAGCGACTTGCAGCAGAACAGGCGTCTGCCATGTTCACCACCACTGCTGAGACGCCGTTATGACCGCGACAACATGATGCTTCTACAACGTCATCAGGCGAAAATCGAGGGACCACTTTTTCGGAAAGCGGTAAACATGTACCAGTCGGAGACGCAGGCACCATAACAGTGCTTAATTTTCTGTCCCTAAATAACGGCCAGTGTGGGACACAGACTAAGCATGAGTGCTGCATCCTCGTTCGGCCAGAACTTGTGTTCGGTACCGAAAAGACGAGTTCCCGCTGAACGCCGACGCAGTACTCATGGCCAATACACTTTCGCGAGATGTTTTTTCGTTACCAGAAGTGCGTTACGAAGAACTGCTCGAAGCCAGCCATGTAGCATTGCGTCAAAAATATTTCCTTGACTTCTGGATACTATATATTGAATTTTGTTTGCCGCAATATAATTTTTAAGCGATCAGTTTCTAATCAAATAATGTGAATGCATTACACAAGTATGTTACGAAGAACTGCTGGGGGCCAGCCATGTAGCATTGAGTCAAAAATATTTTCTTGACTTTTGGATATTATATATTGAATTTTGTTCGCCACAATATGATTTTTAAGCGATCAGTTTCTAATAAAATAATGTGAATGCAATACACAAAATAGAACTTGCAAATTTCTACTGCAATAGCTGTTTGTCCATTTGCAAACATGGCATGATGTTAGCAAATGGAATGCGAATGGCGGCAAAGCACCCGCTCATGCCACGTGCACTGCTTGTTTCCACAACAATGATTGGCGGACTTGTAAAAAGTGCCTTATTCAAGGGGCTTTACTTACCTTTTTTGATGACAACAGCTTCATGTGCGTCCATTTTTTGTGGAAATGGGGACATCTTGCTATAATCATTCGAGTGCACACCTATATCTGCTGAGGTAGGCAGTATATCCTCTGGTTCTGTTGACAAAGACAGTACACAAATGTTTTGAGTCAAGTCAGAAACAGACCCATAGTCGTTAGTCAGAACAACGTTGAACTACAGCTCAATAAAACAGAACCACCAAAAGAAAAGTTAGCTGCCTTTTGTTACAAGGCAGCTAACTTTTCTGTATTTCTCATCCACAGAATGAACTGTGCAAGGAGCATTCAGAAAATAACCTGAAAGACGGATAGCTGCACTGAAATGCATTGTGCTCCTTCTTCAACGCCCAGAACTGCAGACAGTCGTGTCGCTAGGGCAGGGGACATACCACCTTGGGTGGGGTGGGGTGGGGGGAGGGGGGTCGGGTCACAAGGGGGAGGGGGGTAGTGTTGCAGCGGGCAATGAACAAGGAGGGTCGCGGAGGCCCACCGCCCCGGGGCCCAGGGTGCCACTGGCCCTAGTGACGTCACTGCCTGCAGAATGTGAAAAAGGAGCTTGCCTTTTTTTTCACAAGAATGGATGCAGAAAGGTGGCCGTGGGAAGAAGACAGCTAGGTGACCAGCTCCTCCCTCAGAGGACAAAATGCCTGCACTCTTCATTTTGCTCTGTCAGGGGGAATGCAGAAGAAATGTGCATGTGTGCTCAATGCTCAACGCTCGGAACAGGCAGGGAGTCGTAAGCTTATTTACCACTGGCCTAAAAAAGGCAAAATGGAAAGTTGGGCAAGTTGGTACCGAAGAATAAACACCTCAAAGACAGGGGTAATGCCCGTGTGCCCGATTTGCTAAAAACAAAATAACTATGAAAACTGAAAAATAAAACAGAGGGGGTCAGGTCAGGATGCTGCGGAGGCGATGCTATCGATAATGTGTCGTCTGCTCGCGTCAGCTGCGATTCGGCCGGTGCATTCTTGCTCCGCGAGTAACTATCGCGTGCGTTACTCGCTCCTGTCAATGCCCGCCACAGTTTGAAACCCTTCACGAGGAATCATGACATCCGTCTCCAACAATGCTGTCGACACTTCACACAAGTGTGAAGTGTCAACTTCACACAATACAAAAGTAACTTCTGAAAACACGAAGTCTCGCCACTCGGCGAACAAACGGCGGACAAACGGCGAACGCTACGACGTCCGGGACTTCAAGGATTACGGAAACTCCGGCGAATTTCCACTGTTTCACAATTGATTACCTGCGCGCAGTTGCGAAAATGAATCTTTCATCGAAATGTGCTTCACGGACAACGGAGTTATCTGCGGGCGGTTTGTCCGCTCATGGGATTGAGCGCTGCCGAACCTGACGGCGCTCGTCGTCCTCGGAAAGTGGGAGGCCTGGTGAGGGATTGTTCTCCTCCTTCCTTACAGAAATATACCGCGTGATGCATCTGGGAACAAAGCAGTCTGCTTGCCGTTTTTGCCATCGCGGTTGTCTGGACGCCTGAGAGCAATAATTCCAGGAAAATCACCACGAACGAGCACTTCTAGCGACGCCACCTATCTTCGTTATACTACACTAGCGCGCTGCTGCACAGGGAGCGAAAAATTTACATTTTTAAGATTAGTATAGATGGCGTAAGCTACCGTCTAAAAATTGGATAGGTTTGTATTTGTCTATCCATTCAAACTCTGACGTCGTCGGTAGACAAGCGTTTCGGGGCAGTAAAACTGGAAACGCCGATTGGCTGAAAAAAAATGACGTCACTTCCGGTTTTGTTGATTTTTAGATGACGTTTTAAAGTAAAAATATATAAAAAAGTACTTTTCTTGTTTTTGTTTGTTCTTACTTTTTTTTTTTTTTTTTTTCTTGCTTGATTTTTTAATTTTGGCTGGTACGGTTCCGTTCTGTTCCGCCTTGGCGCCCTTGGCCGCGGGGGCAATGTTTTTGTTTTCGTTCTACGTTCAGGTGTTGAGTGGCGACGTATTAACCGTCGATAACCAGCTGAAGCAGCTCAAGTTCTCTAGTGGAACGAGGTTGACCGTGCGCAGTGGCAGCCGTTGACAACAAAAACAATGTATGCACTCAGCTTCGCCGGATGAGTGCCGGCGTCGATCGCGAACCGCCAGAGCCGCCAAATACCTCTCGTACATCTCCAAGAACACCAAGAACAGGAGGTATTCATAAAGGTGAGTGTTCACCGCACTTTAGTGCTTCAGTTCCGTTTGGAGTCGTTTGACATAATTTAGTCCGGTGCGTCCGGGAACAAAGGCGCTACCAGAAATGGCGGGAATGGTCGGTCGGTGCTGAATGCTGATGCCATCCAAGCGGATTTGAATTGGGTTTCGTGCGCTCAACGTGTCGATTTGTTTCTTGAGCTGCCTTTACCAACCGCTCGCCCGAAATCGTTCGGTAGAACATGCGGACGTGACGGCTAGCAGAGCCCTCCGCAAAGGCTTAGGAGCGCGCTCACAATTTTGGAAGCTTCCGTATGACCGCAAGTGCTCAATAAGTCGCTATAGCAATGATTGCATGCCATCGACACAGACTTCGATCCAGTTTTTCAACGAGACAGGAAGGCCCAACGAAGCAAGCGTAGAATCTGATGCTTCGCCTGTCACTGTCTGCGCGGGAACACGCCGAGAGGCGCTTAAGCGAGCTGCCAGGGCGTAATTAAAAAAAAAAAAAAAATCTAACGCAGGTCTGAACCACGCGAGGATCGTCTCGAAGCATGGTAGCCTCAACAGACGCTTGCCGCCACACGCGAGGAGAAAGCAGGAGGCCCGAAGTTTGAATGTGAAGGTAAAACGTGCTTTAATAATAATGATCTTTATCTGCACGTTCCTTTGTATGACTAAGGTGATCGTGCTGAGACACAATATAGCAGCGATTGCTCTCGAACAAAGGACAGGACAGCAGAAAGGCAATGAGAGGCAGGGAGATAACTGACCTCTCTGTTGTAAAACATTTTTCAGAGGAGGTGCGAAGAGCTGGCCCTCACTTTTTCAAGGCAGCCGCAGAACACTACGAGCCCCGAATCACTGCCACGGCTGACTCACGCGGATGCTGTGCTGCACCCTGCACTGCACATGGTTCGAAGCACACTTCAGGGGACCAGTGCATGCCCCTGATGCATCGTCGCGGTATGTTTTGTACTGCTTTTCCTAGCGGTGCACTGAGCAGTCCAATCTTGAAGGGAGCACGCGAGTGCGTAGCCAGTGCTCCATGCAGCAAGGACCGCAAGCACCCGCGGAAGCTTGGAGCACACGCAGTGACACCAGCAGCCGTGCACGCTGGCGTCGTCTGCTACTGTACCGTCCTTTCGTTCGGTGCGCAGAAAAAAAAAGGAGTGACCGCTCTGTTAAAAGTCTGATGGTGAAGGCATCCTTTACAGAAGCACTGTATGGCTCTCTGCACGCTAGAATGGGGGCTGTCGTTGATGCTCGCAGAGGCGTCGCCCACAACTAAGCAGACGATCAAAGTCCTGAGCAGGTGACTAATCGTTTCATTGTTCTTTGGTAGGGAAAGGTAGATAATGTGCTTCTACTCCCAGCTTTGTTTTTTTTTTTTTTGTTTTTATCACCATTTAGTATGTTACCATCAAAACAGCATCCTGGTGTTCACATAAATATGTGTTAACAATACCTATCGTCAAATATGTGACTCAAAGAGCCAACTGCGGCCGAGGATATCTTTTAAGTGTTCTTTTTCTCACAAAGATCCCTGGCATTGACTTTTTAGCCACGTACCTTGAGTCCAGAAAAACAATGTGCTTCAGCTAAATGGTATTCACACAAAATACATCCTGACAAGCTGCTTTCACTCTCGAGCCTCGAAGAAATTTTGCAGTTTGATTTGAACTATGTTGCAGGTTAAGGAGGTAGGGTCAGGGAAAAGAAGGTGGGAGAGCAGGAAGCGGGCACAATGCTGGTCAAACCCTCTCCCTTCGCCGGCGTTGCATCCATCTCGTCCTCTCCCACCTTCCTTTTTTTTCCCCTACCTTCTTGAGTTGTCACCGACCATATAAAAGGCATGCATTGATATCACTTGTTCGTTTTGTGGCCATGGCGCCAGCAAGGTTTGAGAAACGTATCCTGCTTCACAGGAATTCAGCACTCAACATGGAGAAACTATTGGCAGTGCTGCTGTAATGTCTTTGTCCTCGTCTTTTGCAGCCATCTAAAAAAGAGAAATATAATACTAGGAACACAGAGCAACGTCACGCGCCAGTACATAGTGTACTACGAAGGGCAGGTAAATTGACTGCGGAACACGATTTTCTCAATGTCCTCACGGTTCTTTCGGCCAAGTACATACAGATAAGACGATTATTATTAGAAATGTTGAACGCCAATCCGAAATGTTTTTTGGCGGTGTGCCGAGCAAAAGGACATTGCTGCAACAGAAAACATGTGCCATCCTCCGCCTTTGGTGCTTCTGTGTCTGCGCCGAGCTTCCGCAGCCACCAACAGTCAACGCTGCATGGACTGCCCGCCATGCTTTCATGCGTTCCATGTATGATTGGCACGGCATGTGGATGTATCATGCAAGTGACATCAGCGCTGTTGGCAGTGCCATGCTGGTGGTGGTTGAGCTTTGCTAGACTCTGACCATTGACAAGCTGTTTTATGCAATAATCGCTCTTGGAAGTCCCCAAACTGTTTTTAGCAATTCAAGTGTCAGATTTTTTTTTAGCTATGGTTATACAGGTTTTCTTTTTTAACATTTACAGATTTCAAAGAAAAAGTGAAAGTTATGACAGTTATAAGTTATACGGCCAGGCGGACATTAGATTCATGGAAGAATGCAGCTAAAAGTCCGTGTAGATCATGTGTATCATGCTTCTCTACAGCGCAGCTACATACTTGCGTAGGACAACCCCCATGAAGTGGGGTGGGGGGGCTGCATGCGTGTGTTGGGTAGCCCCTCTTGGTTTTACAACTCTACCCTGTTGTAAAATTTTAGATTTTAATGCGAACAAGTTGATAACAAAAAAGAACTTGGTCAACATTGATCTTACAACTAGAGATGTAAAAGGAACAAAAATAGAGAACAGCAAAATGTGGAAGAAGACATCTCGCTTCTTTCATTTTCATTTGACTAAGTGACATTGGTCGGCGACTGTAAGACTTTTAATCACAATAGTTATACACCACAGGTCCCGGGGATCATGGCATCGATGAGCTCGCTTTCGCCTTGTCCAAGGTAGCAGCGGAACACTACGGGCAGGCCCGGAGTCACCGCACCGGCTGGCTCACGGGCGTCGTCCTGTACTCTGCACGGCACTGCGTGTGGCTTAACCGGCCAAGCAGAGGGTCACTGCATGACCTTTATGAGGCGTCGCTAGCCATTGTAAGTATATTTTGGACGCTCGTGTCAGGGGATGTACTTTTGTGTTCTACAACAGAACATGTTTGGTGGCGGTTCAGTCTTGCCAATTCAGCCATTTCGAAACATAATTTTGTGGCGACTCGGCTTAGGTTTTCTGGCTCGGCCGTCTTTTGCACCAGTGTCTAGGCTCGGCGTAAGCCTCTTTGTTCTTTATTGTCAAGGCTAGTGTAATTTCTGCTACGCCGTCGAAGCAACTTCTGCATGCGAACAAGATGCAAGACGAAGCTACATGCTCGTGCACAGTGCATGACCACATGTGAAAACTAATAGCGAGTTTGTTTCGCTGCACTCGTGCGTATGCGCACCCACTCGCAACATGAAGTGAGTTTGTTTCGCCGCCGGCACTCCACACGTGCATGCGCTCGCTGCACCCTGAGAATTAAGTGTGTACCTGAATGCACTCCCGTCATGCATCACTTAGGCAGGGAACAAGAGCAGATGACTGGTTTGTCCACCATGCGGGACAGTAGAACTGCAGAAAAAGTGAACTTTCTGCTAAAAAAATGACGTCCCACGAGCAACAAAATCGGACACGAGCTTGAATTGTGTGTCTGCTATTCTATAAAGCAAGCAATCCACAACCTGTGCTTAATTTGCAAGTTTTCAGTCATTTTGTTGCCGTACAGACGTCCAAATACACCGGTGGATAAAGAAAGGTTCAGAACGAACATCAGCCACTGCGAGATATCTCTCACCATCCGTGCGGGGCTAAAGAGTTGGGACGTTAGTTGACAAAGCTTGCCCCGCAGAAACCTGCGACGCGTCCAATCGAGAGCCGAGAAAGCTAAACTGCTTTTACCCGAGGCTTGGATAAAATCACAGTGTTTAAAAAGGAGCCATGGAATTTATTTTGGGTGGGATAAATTAATTTAGATTCGTATTTTGCTAATACAGTTGAACCTTTCAAGAACGAAATTCTCGCGGCAACGAAGAAATCTGGCGGCCCCAGCGAACGTCCATAGGGTTCAATGCATTTGCACCCTCTCAGCAGCAAAGAGTTTTTAAAAAGCAGTCCCGCATTAACGAAAGTTTGAGGTAGTGATCTGCCATAGAGTTATTCAATGTGTCTACCAAGTTGGCATTTTCAAATTCCCTGAGTTTTTCAGGTTTCCTCTGAGTACTTTTGTGAAATTCCCTGAGTGACACAGAACTTTGTTTTAGGTCAAGATGGGCGGACACCATGTCGCCAGATGCTGTCACTCTCTAAAAAGCATGTCATAAAATAAAATAACAACACAATACAGTTTTGATGATAGCGAGTAACTTTTATTAGATTTAAAAAGAAAACAGAGCGAAGTGGTTAGTAAAATTGATAGTGAATAAAGTATAAAAAAAGGTAAACTGAGGTTTACGTGACCCCCCCAGGTCTGGTCATGTGACCTCAGGGGGGGGGTGTCGAGACCTGACGGTGACGCCGCTCAAGCCGGAAACGGGAGCAATAACGGGGAAAGGAAAGGGTAAACAAACATAAGGCGTTCAAAGTGTGATTGCTCAACCCTTGTTGTCAAAACACTCCACCTGACAAAATCTTTTTTTTTTTTTTTTTTTTGGGGGGGGGGGGGGGGGGGGGGCTAAGGAGTTGCACAGTGACAGCGGTGTTTGGGAAAATGAGCGCACGCGACCGTTCTAACAGCGAGCACTCCCTGCCCTCCCCACGCGCGCAGGTGCCCTTCCCCTTGCTTTTGCCATCCTCCACTTCTTTTGTTTTTATTGGTTGCTTTTTTCATTTTTTATACAATTGCTTTTTCGCTGCGCATCCCCGCGTGCGCATTCCCGGGTGCGCGTATGCTGGCTTGGCGGTCTGCCAGCCCCGCAACCCGAGCTATGTGCTCCCGGCCGGCGCAATCCGACCTATAGGGAGAAGCGAAGAACCGCCTTCGTCTTCGTTCCCTACATCGAGTGTCCCCTCCATGGGAGTTATGGGCATTCGATACAGAAAAACAATGCAATTTTCTAGGGGATGTTTGGACTGTTTCATATAAACAATAATTCGAAATACGGGTGTGATATAACCGGGTTCGACAGTATGTTTGGCCGTCTCCCTTAATTTCCAGATACCTTCGTTCGTTTGGCACATATATCACCGATGCTAGAAAGCGCCGACGTCGTGTTCGCGCTGAGAGTGTCCGACAGTGCACATAAATACACGTGCGAAGCCGTTTTTGCACCAGTTTTTTTTTCCCCCATAGAAATGCATTACCGGAAGTCAATTTTCGACTGGTTGCTGTCTGCTTCAACTTGCGTCGGCACACTAGCGCCACTTGAACCTCTAGCGTACATTGTAATAACCCTATGTGATCTGCAACATTTTTTCGTCACATGAGCCAGTTTGGAACCCAGAATTACGAAAAGTGGAGCAGTACACTCGTCCGGCAAGTTGGGCACATGCGTTTCCAACAAGCATCAGCGCGGCCATTGCTGTTTACATTCGGTCAAAAAATAATGACAATAGCAACTAGATTCTTTTTTTTTTTTTGGTTGGTGAAAACAGCGTTTTGCAAGCCCATCTGTTGGCAACTACCAAGGTATGTGACGTTTCACGTGACGACACCGCCCGCTGCTATTTCGCTGACACCGCAGTTGCTGACGAGCTAATGCTCTTCAGCAACTGACGGATTAGCTCCTCCCGCATCGAATACGCGGCAAAGAAGTTTGTCACATCGCGGCAATTTCAGGCGATCGATTAATTAGTTCTATCCAATTTTTACTAAGAATTGTTTACAAATGTAAAATTGCTCGCTGAAAAGCGCATCACACATTATGCGCAATTGGGACCGAAAAATTAAACATACAAACAATAGGAATTCATAGCAGGTGTATACCTAATTTTTTGGGATGCTAATTGTCACCGACTTACTAAATTTAAGGCTTCGGTCGCGAGGGGGTCTCGCATGCTTCACGTCGATCGAGTGAACAAGCAGGGATTTCATTGAGACGACTCTGGAAGCCAGCCACCGTCAATGCCAGTTGTTTTGAGGAAATGTTTGTTTACTGGTTTAAAAAGACCAAAAATGAATCAACTTGGGACTAATAAGAAATCAGCACTTACAAAACACAACGGAACCACCAAGATACACGGAGTCGCTTTCACTGAAGTGTTTACTACACAGGTTAGAGATTCCCGAATTTCGCTTTCCTATTTTCAATTTAATGAGACATTTCTTTCTCAGCTTTATTTTGTCTGAATAATAATAAAATAAATACACCCTATTCGCCATGCTAGCTAAATGTTGTAGTGGGGTAAAGCGCTGGATATTCTATTTTAATCCATCTTTTTGTACTGGGGTGGAGAACAGTACATCACCATCCCAGCATTTCGACACCTTAGTGCCAAAAGTGTTTGTTAGCATGACTACGCGTGGCACGGTTTCAAGTATAACTTCACCAAATAAAAACAATGCGCGAAATGGGCTTTGCTGCGCGATACAGCGCATAACGCTGACTGTCGAGCCGAAGGTTCCAAGATCTGCGCAGTCTGTCCCAGTGTGCCCTACCCGTAACGTCAAAAACGACGATGATGATAGCTAGTTAGCGCATGCCGCCAAAGAGTTGTAAACTGCGGACGTTCCGTCCGGAGTTGTCTGTCTTCGATCCTGCTCATTCCGTATCATGTAGGGGAGAGTATGCCATCCTGCTGGCCTACAGTCGCACACTGCCAGTGTTAAACTTTCAGAACTCTATGAGCCGAGAAATTGATGGAGAGGGGGAGACGAGAGTGCAGGGACATCAGAACGCAGAGGCACCTAAACCTAGGTGCCTTTGTCTTCACTGCACTTGTCAAAGACGTTCGAGTGCGAGAGCCAAACGCCGGGGGTGGCCTTTGGCATTGGCATCCCAATACGTTCGACGAGTGCAGTGGAGACAAAGGCAGCCTTTGTTTCTGCTGCACTCGTCGAACACATTCGAATGCAGAACGCCGGTATCCAGCTTTGGGCTCTCGCATTCGAACGTCTTTGACGAGTGCAGTAAAGACAAAGGCACCTAGCTTTAGGTGTACCCACTAATCATTCGAACCAGAGCTCGGGTGTCCTGACATCCACACCTGCTCTCGTCCTCACTTTTCCCTCAGTTTCTTGGCAGATTTTAGGGGAAACTGTGTGGGTGGGGGAAGGGGGGGGGGGGGGGGGGGACGGCCCCCTTTGAAGCCTTCGAGGTTAACTTTTTCTAAAAAAATGGACTTATGCCGGCTTTTGTTAGGAAGAAATTAAGTTTTTGACAACGTGACTAGTACACTCGGTTGGAAAACTGCTATAGGAGCCTCCTTTGAAAAAGTGGCTTCAATCCATATGAGAGAATCAAACTAAACGCAATCGCAATGCCACTGTTTCTCCCGCGGTGGCCACTCCGTGAACTACACTGCTGCACTGACTGGTTCCGTAGATTCTCGGAAGGGCCACTGGTGTCATCTCGCAGGGCCATCTTGGAGTAGCTATGCAAGGCAACTTTCATGTTTTGACTTGTTGCTAAAGAGTGGCACTGTTATCATATTTAGTTTGGTCTCGGTGGACTCCAGCAGTCCAGGTTCCAAGGTTGAGTTTCCTAGCTGAGTGTTTTAGTAACGTTGGTTTTTGGTGGCATAACAAATATTAGGTAAACAAAACAGATCTTGCCCTGCATGTTAGGGTCAGATATTAGTTGCTGTTCACCTGATCGACCCCTTTGTTCTCTGCATTCATCATAGGTTTCAAATCGTCCTGATTCATGGGCCAAGCCTTTCAAGACTGCACTCTTAGCCCCAGTCCTTTTTGGTGGATCGGATCTTGCCATCTTCCCCTCTCGTGGCTTCCTGTTGTACTTAAATAAATTGTCATATTTTTTTCTTATGGTGGTGCATACGTTTTGCCACACTTCACAAAAACAGTGTGGTGAATCCATGCCGCAGATTACTGTGAAACGTGCAGGAAGGGTAAACTCCGAAAAGGTTTATGGAAAGAAGATACATCCCCCATTAATTTTTTCTGGACACTCTAAGCGTGCTATCTACGCAGTATTTCTGCCTATCATGGCATCGGCTTTTGACCATTCACGCTTGCAAGGAAAGGCTATCGGCAAGAAGGGTTACGAAGTCTGTGTTCTGTTTGCATTTAATTACTGAAACAAGATTTATAGACTTTACCAAGTGTATTTGAACATAACTAAATGTTTAAACTTTAGATCTTTATTTTAAACTTTACCATTATTTTAAGAAGTTTTTGCTAGGGTAAATGTTTTCCATAAGTTTTTTTTTTTCTTTTATATATCGGATAAAGGGATTACATTTGTTCTCCGAGTTTTTATAGAAGCCCCATCGCTATCACCATCACTATTTTGATTTTTCCAAGATGGCCGTTTTTGTTTCGCGAACGTTCTGCGAGGAGAGTTCGGCGACTTGCGTGACTTACGAACAGAACTGCCTAATTGGTATGTTAATTTTGGTGGCTACTTATCGCGGAATGTCGTGGGTATCTTGTATTTGTACAAGAACTAGTATTTAAGGTTCAGATTGTTCGTACAGAACGTTAGCTCGGCGGGTCTAGTCTCTTCTAAATTGCTTGGTTGCCTTTTGTCCACGTTTATTTCCCTCCCAGACCCATCACACACTGGTTCATTTTCTGTTTCCAGTACCTACAATTGAGTAAATTGTTTTAGAGGAGGGGATGCCCAGCTTCAGCAGCTTCAATGTGCGAGGAACACTCCAGCCCCCTCAACAAAGCTGGAGGTGCGGATAGAGTTGAGATTTCAACTGACTAATGAATGCTGCATCGGATGTTATGCAGTAGTAAGTCATGACATTTTTGTATTTATGTCGTGCATCGGCCGTAAAGCGAAACTTACGTTGCGTAGGTTACATAGGACGTAACTAACTTTTATTTCGGGTTCTGTTTGTCATAGCTTTAATTTTCATATTAGGTTACGTCGGACCAAACTTTATTTTTCATATTGGGTACCTTAGATGTAACTCGAAATCTTGGGGTAAGGTTACGCTAGACACTGCGTTGAAAGATGCACTTTTATTTTTTTGAAAAATATTCTTTAACTTACGGCAGTGGCGAATAGCACTTGTGTTGATGAGATGTTTTGATTCCACATGTCCGGAAAGTTGCCGGGGCAGCTGTCGACTATCTAATAGGACGGTAATGTTGCAGGTACAAAAGTGAATAATACACCGTGTTGAATATTTATTTATTGGTCTTTTTCGGCAGTGCCACTTGTGCCTGGACAATGGAAGATGATGCAAAGGCCAAAAGAAAGCTACTCTGCATCTGCACTCTGAATAATGTGATGTCTCGGTAGCTACACATGCTTTGTTAAAGGGAAGTTTATTTCGCCACTTGCTAGGCATCATTGAGGTGATTTGGCTGTGTGCCTTTATTTTTTTGCTAATAGAATGTACTGCACTTACAACCGCTTGTTGTAGGTGCAGCCTACAACAATCAGTTGCAAAGGAGCACCGTTTAGTGAATCCATTCGATTAACATAAGCAAGTCTGGAAGATGCTAAAGACTAGAGCATGATGCACTGAGGCATGTTGACCTATGCTTGAGCACCCACTCTCCTCTCTTGGGCTGTAAACCAGGCAAAATGTAAAATTATTCTTGCGAAAACAGCAGGGATGTGGCATGCATAAAAACTTGTCGATCATGCTCTGAATATGCTGGCCGCCCAAGCGAGCGACTCACTGACTGACTGGCTCGGCTTTGCCATCAGCCAAGGCAGGACAAGCAAATGCTAGAGCAAGCAGTCAAGTTCGGTGAATTTTGTTTTTCTAAAAACAAATTTGCTAAAAGGAGATTCGTTGCCATTTCCTCTAAACGGAGTGCCTTCTTGAAAGAATTCAATAAAAAAGGGGGTTTCAAAACTTGTGCTTGGAAAAATAGATGCCTCTGCTCGGGCCGTACACATCAACTTTCTTAGATCTGTCGGTTGACAAGCTCCATAAAAGAGCAGCAGTAAAAAAAAAAAAAAAAAAAAAAAAAAAAAAAAAAAAAATTGAGACGTTTACAATTCTTTGTAACATGAAATTAGAGCGCAGCGCTTGAGTAGGAGGAGGGGAGGTTATGCCTCTCCTATCCCTCCATACCCTCTCCTCCCCCTCCCATTTAGCAGGCAATTTTCGCTAAATTTCCTGCTAAATTTAGCAAGAATTTCCCCGCTAAATTTAGCGGTTTAAGTTTCCTCTCTAAATCTTGTGGGGAAATTCATGTCACACAACCTCAACACCAATTCAGTTTCCCCGCTATATTTAGCAGGGAAACTGAATTGGTGTTCAGGAAACAACCCTGCTAAATGGCACATGACTTCATGCCACGTCACTCACAAACAAATTCAGTTCCTCAGCTAGATTTAGCAGAAAAATTGACATTGCGTGACCTCAACACAAATTCAATTTCTCACTAAATTCAGCAAGGTGATCATGCAGACGGCGACGCAATGAAGCGTGGAAATGGGCACCTAGGAGCTGCACCCTAAACCAGTTTTTCTCTGTTGCCGGTGCACAAGCAGGTAAGGGCGGATAGCATTCCTAGTGCCAATTCCTTTGCGGTCAACGAAAAACGCTTTTTGAACAACGCTCTTTCTGTTTTAAGTATTGTGCAGGCCTTAAGTTTACTATAAGAACAACAACAACAAAAAAATCACTTTCCACTGCAGGTAATGTGCATCCAACGTTCCACTGGATCTGTCCGAAGGGCAGGCTGATACTGCGGCAGACGCCACTGAGCGGACACACTGCAAAAAGGCGTCGGGCGTTTTCCGAAGTTTGTCAACTGACCTAGATCTGAGAACGTTGGTACATGTATTGCTACCGTTGCCAAGCAGGACTGGAGATTGTTAGAGTGTGAACAATGTTCACACTTTGGTCAATGCAAGCACATCTTTTTTTTTTAGTAATATTGACTAACAAGATTGCAACAATCAAACAAGTTAACACCGAAATGTTAAAAGCAATAAAGAAATTAAAGCCCGGCTGTTCTGCGAGTGCAGATTTTATATCTTGCTTTATTTTAAGGGCTGCACTGATTTGTTTGCCCCTTCATTAAAGGGGCCCTGCAACCATATTTAAGCGTCTACCTTTTTTGCGGTTTCCACGTCTCTTGGCGTTCAGGCAAGCCAGCGGGCACGGAGAAAGTAACTAAATGTCAGTGCGTCATATTTTAACCGGCCGACGCAGAAACCTCCTTTACCTACGGGGGCGACCCGCATTGCTGAAAGCGCGCGAAATGCGACGTCTTTGGTCCTGGGCTTACTAGTGGTCGGAGCCGCTAAAAGCTAAAAGAACCGTTTCAATTATTTGTGAAAGTAGTTTTTGTTCAGTATTTTAGACCAGAAAAGAAACAAATGCAGTTTATAAAGTACGGAAACAAGAAACGACCCTTCGACATACCCGCCCCGCCACCCAAGCGGTGGAAAAGGCGGCGCATACTAGAAAGGTGTAGTGGGATCAGGCAATGACGAGGGCAAGCGTAGAAAGGTCTCGGGTGTATGCGGCGGCGCTGCAGTCGAAAATCCGACCGGTTCCGAGCATTCCAAAGGCCTTCGGCGAGCAGCTTTGGCTTGCGGTTTGGCCCTTTGGCGGTATGGCAGTGCGAAGTGGCTCCCGTTCTGAACTGATCTTTACCCCGTGTTTGCTGTCGTTTGTGACCAATGAAGTGTCATGCCGAATTAGTGTTTAATCGTGCAGCAAATGCAATGCGAGCCCCCCTGGCTGCCCGCTTCATACAGCCTTTCCAGAACATGCTATATGGCGCCCTCTCGAGCTGTTGACACGGAGCGCTCGCTGAGCTCACTTAGCCCTCTTCTAGTTCATGGCCACTCGAGCGACCAAGGACGTCATGAAAAAGGTTATGTTTTGCTTGTTCTTGTAACTTTAATGTGCCTATAACTTTTAAAATAAAGCGAAATTCGAGAAAAGAAAAGTTTAATTAAGTTGCACTGACTACGTTCAGTGCGCTCAGGTTCGGTGCAAATGAAAAACCAGTCAAAAAGCCCTTGCAGGGCCCCTTTAAAGCATGCATTTAATCTCCGAGAAGTTGTGATTTTTCATTGTTGTGGAAGAGGTCTCGTAGCACCAGTGAAGGACGATGGTGATATGTCTAGGGTAGACAGTCACTGCCTGGGTCTTTAATATAAGCTTTGAAAGAGTCTATAGTCAGTTGCAACCTAAGAACGAAGGGCGTGGGTAAGACGTGTTGGGGAGGAGGAAGCAGGCGGAACACTAAAGAGAGAAGGAGGTTTCCCCCTCTCTTCTCCAGCGTTCCGTCTGCTTCCTCCTCCCCGGCCCATCTTACCCTCGCCCTTAGGTTGCAACGGACTATAGATAGTTGTACACAGACATGGGTCTCTTTACTCCAGTTAAAAACAGCACCATTCAATGGAATTTTTTTAGGTTGTCAGTAGAAATGTTTTTGTAAACTTGAATACAAGGCACCATCCGTTTTTCTCACTGAAGCAAGTTGATATTTTTTCTTTCTATTTATAACTAGCTTTTGACAAGATCAATTACGAATTGCTTTTGTAAAAACCTTTATTGTATGGTGTAGCACTGCCACTTTTAAAATGGTTTAATGACTAAGTCCCTCACAAGATGAGAATGGCTATGAGAAGCCTCAGTTGCCCTGCCTCCAGCAAGAGAGCTTCCTACCTTCGGCAACGCGTAGAGGCGGGACATTTGTAAGACACACCCAGCCATTCGCATTCCATTCAGCAATGCTTAGGCATCTTGCAAACCTCAAGAATGCACGCACAGCCAAAGCATGAGGAAATGCGATGAGTGCTCGCTGGAGGCTGAGCTATAAGACATGCCCTGCATTTCTCATCTTCCCTGCGATTATTAGCACCGAGATGTTCTGGTGATATCCTATTTCGCTCGCAACATCACGGGCGGTTTGATACTTCAACCCTATGTTCCAGGTGAGAAAAAAAAAAGTGCCTTTCATGGAAGGCTTGTCAAAATAATAGGCGCCAGAGAGTAACGGCCATCTGCGTTCAGTCCTTATTTAGAACCCTATGTTCATGTTCTGCGGCCGCATTGAAAAGTACTGCAAGAGAGCCCAAGTGTGCTCCTGATCTCGCCCCACCAGTCTCCTCCTGCACAATAAATTGACTGCCACGGTCACCAAATGTCAATAGATGCACATTCGAACGCAGCAACTGAAGCCAGCTACAGACACAGTATCTTTCAAAGTATCTTTGAAAGATATCTTTGTATCAAAGCTACAGACACAGTATCTTTCCAAACAGACTGCAGGTCACCCCTCACTTGGGCGAGGGGGGTGACTCGTGTGGTCTGCTTCTGCGGTCTCCAAAAATATTTTCGTAAACAACTCCCACATCTACCTACAGTAAAATAAGCAATATTCAAAACTTAAAAAAAAAAAAAAAAAAAAAAAAAAAAAAAAAAAAAAAAAAGCCGTTTACGATTTTTTGTAACGCCGGATTAGAGCGCAGCTCTTGAGGAGGAGGATGAAAGGATACGGAGGGATGGGCGACGCCCTGAGGGCCCCCTCGCTTTCGCGCTGCGGGGCAGTCCCAGACACGAAGCTTTGAGGTTCTCCGGCGCGGGCTGCGGCACCCCAACACATGTGTGCTGGGCTGTACATGTCTGTTTTTTCGTTCTTTTTTTTTTCCTCGGGCGCTTAAAAGCCGAAGTCCAAAGTCTACTCGTCGAACAGCGTTCACCCACACCTTCTCCAGTTTTTGGTCCGTTGGAAACTAGTGAAAAAGCACCTCCGTGTTGCACAGCGGGTTGTTTGAGCAGCCCACAGCGCTACAAGTTGTACTCGGCATCTTTTGAGGAACAGCTGGGCAGTCTTGGGCGCACCAAGTTGCTCGCTAAAACGAGTCTTGGAGTCCTCACAAGCAGACAAACAAAAGGCTATAGCGAAGCTACATGGGCTACAGATAAAATCAACGGCTAAACACGCCAATCACAAGCCGAAGTACCGGTGGTAGCGGCTCGAAGAAACGCACTCCGCGCAACGCCCGGGCCGGAGGAAAAGGGAAAGATACTGACGTCACGGCGCAATGTTGCTTTAGCGATCGCCAACCCGCTGGCCGCCCGCTAAGAAGCAGCGGCTTGCGGCAGGTCACATTTTTATTATCGGCATTAGTTGAGAATGCGGCGTCCCACGGACGTAATATTTTGGCTGAGGTCGTATTTTGTGTGTCTACAACGATACCAGTAATTTATTTCATTTTGAGTTTTGGCCGGAGTTGCCCTTTAAGTTGGTCAGAGTATCTGACTGCAAAGGGTTAATAATCCATTTTTAATCGACATAGAGGCGAACTAACTAGCCACTCGGCGCTTTGACGTAGCGCGTCGTCTGCTCGATCCTACCAGCACCGCTACAGGAAGGCGTCCGCGAGATGAAACCAGCAAAACATCTCGTCGCCAATGGTGACACAGTGGTCGAGTCTAACATGTGAGCTAGGGCCGGCTCACGTGCTTTGGGTACCACGGATGTGTCGCACTGAAAATGCGGAAAGCTTTTGAGGGAAAGGAAGTACAAAATAGTCCGTCATGTTTTCAAATTTTCGTACCGAAAAGCAGACTTTTGACTCTCGGCCCGCTGAACAATATGTTACAGTTGAACCCCGTTGTCACAGGGTTCTTTGTGGTTAATAATTGACAAAATACAATGTCCTTCGTTTTTCATGAAAACTTGTATTTACAAAAAAAAAATCGAAGGGTTCATATGCTTATACCAAAAAAGAAAACTTAGTTAAAGAAATGAAAGAAAGGAAAACGCATCAGTCACCATGTCTTTAAGTCCCTGTGCAGCAGTGTGTCTTGTGCTGTCGTTGTCGGCCCACGGTTGTGGCTGGAAGTCAGGAGCGGGAGCGGTTGGCTTCCGTCGGCGGCCCCAGAGTTACCGCACCAAGCGCTCCCGCTGTAGGAAGCCGGGGGCAGCGTAGGTTTCTATTCGCTGCCCTCGCTGGAACAGGCTGCTGGTCAGACAGTAGGAGGCCGCCGATTGCCCTGGCCGCCGATTGCCCTGGCCGATCGTGTCGTTCCGCTCTCTGCACAATCTCCCGGCCAGTCCTTTTCACGCCCTCTGAGCACGCACTCCAAAATCCCTCTTCTTCGTTTCTCCCTCCAGGCCGATCCATGGGTTGACTTGCACTTCTTCTTTTCCACATTAAGTCACATCATCACACCCGTAATAACCAAACCGCGGGGGAAGGAAACGTTTTTTGTTCTCGCGAGAATTTCGCTGCTGCAGAAATGGACAACTAAGCACACCTATTACTTTTCATGATGCTGTCCTTGGATTTCAGAATCGTAGAAAGCGAGAAGCAAAGGATACTGAACTCCTCTGTAATATCAGACTTCTTTCTGGCTTTGGCAGTGATCGCAGAGTTCTCCTGAAGTGCAAAAAACTTAAACTTTTTAATGGGAGGCGGCATCTTTCCGACAGGCCAAACGAAAGGTAGTAAACAAGGCGCGAGCGATCTCGGCGTGCACGCGGCGGACGGCAAAATAGCAGCAGGCGGTGTCGTCACGTACCTAGGTAGTTGCCAACAGATGGGCTAGCAAAACGCTGTTTTCACCAACCCCCAAAAAAAAGCATCTAGTTGCCATTGTCATCATTATTTGACCGAATGTAAACAGCAATGGCCCCGCCGATGCTTGTCGGAAACGTATGTGCCCAACTTGTCGGACGAGTGTACTGCTCCATTTTTCACAATTCTGGGTTCCAAACTGGCTCATTTGACGAAAAAATGTTGCAGATCACGTAGGGTTATTGTAATGTACGCTAGAGGTTCAAGTGGTGCTAGTGTGCCGACGCAAGTTGAAGCAGACAGCAACCAGTCGAAAATTGACTTCCGGTAATGCATTTCTATGGGGAAAAAAAAAAACGGTGCAAAAACGGCTTCGCACGTGTATTTATGTGCACTGTCGGACACTCTCAGCGCGAACACAACGTCGGCGCTTTCTAGCATCGGGGATATACGTGCCAAACGAACGAAGGTATCTGGAAATTAAGGGAGACGGCCAAACATACTGTCGAACCCGGTTATATCACACCCGTATTTCGAATTATTGTTTATATGAAACAGTCCAAACATCCCCTAGAAAATTGCATTGTTTTTCTGTATCGAATGCCCATAACTCCCATGGAGGGGACACTCGATGTAGCGAACCAAGGCCGTTCTTCGCTTCTCCCTATAGGTCGGATTGCGCAGGCCGGGAGCACACAGCTCGGGTTGCAAGGCTGGCAGACCGCCAACCCAGCATACGCGCACGCGGGGATGCGATGCGCAGCGAAAAAGCAATTGTATAAAAAATAAAAAAAGCAACCAATAAAAACAAAAGAAGTGGAGGATGGCAAAAGCAAGGGGAAGGGCACCTGCGCGCGTGGGGAGGGCAGGGAGTGCCCGCTGTTGGAACGGTCGCGTGCGCTCATTTTCCCAAACACCGCTGTCACTGTGCGACCTCCTTAGCCCCAAAATAAAAAAAAAAAAAAAGATTTTGTTAGGTGGAGTGTTTTGACAACAAGGGTTGAGCAATCGCACTTTGAACGCCTTATGTTTGTTTACCCTTTCCTTTCCCCGTTATTGCTCCCGTTTCCGGCTTGAGCGGCGTCGCCTTCAGGTCTCGACACCCCCCCCCCCCCCCCGAGGTCACATGACCAGACCTGGGGGGGTCACGTAAACCTCAGTTTACCTTTTTTTATACTTTATTCGCTATCAATTTTACTAACCACTTCGTTCTGTTTTCTTTTTAAATCTAATAAAAGTTACTCGCTATCATCAAAACTGTATTGTGTTGTTATTTTATTTTATGACATGCTTTTTAGAGAGTGACAGCATCTGGCGACATGGTGTCCGCCCATCTTGACCTAAAACAAAGTTCTGTGTCACTCAGGGAATTTCACAAAAGTACTCAGAGGAAACCTGAAAAACTCAGGGAATTTGAAAATGCCAACTTGGTAGACACATTGAATAACTCTATGGCAGATCACTACCTCAAACTTTCGTTAATGCGGGACTGTTTTTTAAAACTCTTTGCTGTTGAGAGGGTGCAAATGCATTGAACCCTATGGACGTTCGCTGGGGCCCGCCAGATTTCTTCGTTGCCGCGAGAATTTCGTTCTTGAAAGGTTCAACTGTATTAGCAAAATACGAATCTAAATTAATTTATCCCACCCAAAATAAATTCCATGGCTCCTTTTTAAACACTGTGATTTTATCCAAGCCTCGGGTAAAAACAGTTTAGCTTTCTCGGCTCCCGATTGGACGCGTCGCAGGTTTCTGCCGGGCAAGCTTTGTCAACTAACGTCCCAACTCTTTAGCCCCGCACGGATGGTGAGAGATATCTCGCGGTGGCTGATGTTCGTTCTGAACCTTTCTTTATCCACCGGTGTATTTGGACGTCTGTACGGCAACAAAATGACTGAAAACTTGCAAGTTAAGCACAGGTTGTGGATTGCTTGCTTTATAGAATAGCAGACACACAATTCAAGCTCGTGTCCGATTTTGTTGCTCGTGGGACGTCATTTTTTTAGCAGAAAGTTCACTTTTTCTGCAGTTCTACTGTCCCGCATGGTGGACAAACCAGTCATCTGCTCTTGTTCCCTGCCTAAGTGATGCATGACGGGAGTGCATTCAGGTACACACTTAATTCTCAGGGTGCAGCGAGCGCATGCACGTGTGGAGTGCCGGCGGCGAAACAAACTCACTTCATGTTGCGAGTGGGTGCGCATACGCACGAGTGCAGCGAAACAAACTCGCTATTAGTTTTCACATGTGGTCATGCACTGTGCACGAGCATGTAGCTTCGTCTTGCATCTTGTTCGCATGCAGAAGTTGCTTCGACGGCGTAGCAGAAATTACACTAGCCTTGACAATAAAGAACAAAGAGGCTTACGCCGAGCCTAGACACTGGTGCAAAAGACGGCCGAGCCAGAAAACCTAAGCCGAGTCGCCACAAAATTATGTTTCGAAATGGCTGAATTGGCAAGACTGAACCGCCACCAAACATGTTCTGTTGTAGAACACAAAAGTACATCCCCTGACACGAGCGTCCAAAATATACTTACAATGGCTAGCGACGCCTCATAAAGGTCATGCAGTGACCCTCTGCTTGGCCGGTTAAGCCACACGCAGTGCCGTGCAGAGTACAGGACGACGCCCGTGAGCCAGCCGGTGCGGTGACTCCGGGCCTGCCCGTAGTGTTCCGCTGCTACCTTGGACAAGGCGAAAGCGAGCTCATCGATGCCATGATCCCCGGGACCTGTGGTGTATAACTATTGTGATTAAAAGTCTTACAGTCGCCGACCAATGTCACTTAGTCAAATGAAAATGAAAGAAGCGAGATGTCTTCTTCCACATTTTGCTGTTCTCTATTTTTGTTCCTTTTACATCTCTAGTTGTAAGATCAATGTTGACCAAGTTCTTTTTTGTTATCAACTTGTTCGCATTAAAATCTAAAATTTTACAACAGGGTAGAGTTGTAAAACCAAGAGGGGCTACCCAACACACGCATGCAGCCCCCCCACCCCACTTCATGGGGGTTGTCCTACGCAAGTATGTAGCTGCACTGTAGAGAAGCATGATACACATGATCTACACGGACTTTTAGCTGCATTCTTCCATGAATCTAATGTCCGCCTGGCCGTATAACTTATAACTGTCATAACTTTCACTTTTTCTTTGAAATCTGTAAATGTTAAAAAAGAAAACCTGTATAACCATAGCTAAAAAAAAATCTGACACTTGAATTGCTAAAAACAGTTTGGGGACTTCCAAGAGCGATTATTGCATAAAACAGCTTGTCAATGGTCAGAGTCTAGCAAAGCTCAACCACCACCAGCATGGCACTGCCAACAGCGCTGATGTCACTTGCATGATACATCCACATGCCGTGCCAATCATACATGGAACGCATGAAAGCATGGCGGGCAGTCCATGCAGCGTTGACTGTTGGTGGCTGCGGAAGCTCGGCGCAGACACAGAAGCACCAAAGGCGGAGGATGGCACATGTTTTCTGTTGCAGCAATGTCCTTTTGCTCGGCACACCGCCAAAAAACATTTCGGATTGGCGTTCAACATTTCTAATAATAATCGTCTTATCTGTATGTACTTGGCCGAAAGAACCGTGAGGACATTGAGAAAATCGTGTTCCGCAGTCAATTTACCTGCCCTTCGTAGTACACTATGTACTGGCGCGTGACGTTGCTCTGTGTTCCTAGTATTATATTTCTCTTTTTTAGATGGCTGCAAAAGACGAGGACAAAGACATTACAGCAGCACTGCCAATAGTTTCTCCATGTTGAGTGCTGAATTCCTGTGAAGCAGGATACGTTTCTCAAACCTTGCTGGCGCCATGGCCACAAAACGAACAAGTGATATCAATGCATGCCTTTTATATGGTCGGTGACAACTCAAGAAGGTAGGGGAAAAAAAAGGAAGGTGGGAGAGGACGAGATGGATGCAACGCCGGCGAAGGGAGAGGGTTTGACCAGCATTGTGCCCGCTTCCTGCTCTCCCACCTTCTTTTCCCTGACCCTACCTCCTTAACCTGCAACATAGTTCAAATCAAACTGCAAAATTTCTTCGAGGCTCGAGAGTGAAAGCAGCTTGTCAGGATGTATTTTGTGTGAATACCATTTAGCTGAAGCACATTGTTTTTCTGGACTCAAGGTACGTGGCTAAAAAGTCAATGCCAGGGATCTTTGTGAGAAAAAGAACACTTAAAAGATATCCTCGGCCGCAGTTGGCTCTTTGAGTCACATATTTGACGATAGGTATTGTTAACACATATTTATGTGAACACCAGGATGCTGTTTTGATGGTAACATACTAAATGGTGATAAAAACAAAAAAAAAAAAACAAAGCTGGGAGTAGAAGCACATTATCTACCTTTCCCTACCAAAGAACAATGAAACGATTAGTCACCTGCTCAGGACTTTGATCGTCTGCTTAGTTGTGGGCGACGCCTCTGCGAGCATCAACGACAGCCCCCATTCTAGCGTGCAGAGAGCCATACAGTGCTTCTGTAAAGGATGCCTTCACCATCAGACTTTTAACAGAGCGGTCACTCCTTTTTTTTTCTGCGCACCGAACGAAAGGACGGTACAGTAGCAGACGACGCCAGCGTGCACGGCTGCTGGTGTCACTGCGTGTGCTCCAAGCTTCCGCGGGTGCTTGCGGTCCTTGCTGCATGGAGCACTGGCTACGCACTCGCGTGCTCCCTTCAAGATTGGACTGCTCAGTGCACCGCTAGGAAAAGCAGTACAAAACATACCGCGACGATGCATCAGGGGCATGCACTGGTCCCCTGAAGTGTGCTTCGAACCATGTGCAGTGCAGGGTGCAGCACAGCATCCGCGTGAGTCAGCCGTGGCAGTGATTCGGGGCTCGTAGTGTTCTGCGGCTGCCTTGAAAAAGTGAGGGCCAGCTCTTCGCACCTCCTCTGAAAAATGTTTTACAACAGAGAGGTCAGTTATCTCCCTGCCTCTCATTGCCTTTCTGCTGTCCTGTCCTTTGTTCGAGAGCAATCGCTGCTATATTGTGTCTCAGCACGATCACCTTAGTCATACAAAGGAACGTGCAGATAAAGATCATTATTATTAAAGCACGTTTTACCTTCACATTCAAACTTCGGGCCTCCTGCTTTCTCCTCGCGTGTGGCGGCAAGCGTCTGTTGAGGCTACCATGCTTCGAGACGATCCTCGCGTGGTTCAGACCTGCGTTAGATTTTCTTTTTTTTTTTAATTACGCCCTGGCAGCTCGCTTAACCCTTTGGAGTCATGTGTCGGGTGACCCCCGACAAAAAAATATTCAGGTTCTGGTCAAATGTCGGGGCTCCCCCGACAGGCCCATTTCTCCTTTGCGGTCAGGTGTCGGGCGCGCCCCGACAATTTCAACTTGCGCCATCTGTCATCGGGAATGTAAACTAGACTTCTTCGCCCTTCGAAAGGTGCTGCAAGTGACGCTACACATTTTTTTTTTTTTTTTGCGAAATGCGCGGGCGGGAATGTTGCGCGCCCTTTTACGAGTTCATCATGGCAGCCTTTACTCTGTCCGCATTTTACGGAAAGGCTTGTGACTCAAGTGACAGTGAATGTGATTTTAGTGGAGAAGACACCTATGATGTAAAGGAGGCCTCTGAGATAGTCTCTGATGAGTCCTCAGAGAGTGATGGTGACAGCACCGAGAGTGATGAGGAGACATGCGCCGCCGCCACCGCGCATGCCTACTTTTTTGGTTGCTGGAAGTGGGAGTAGTCAACAGCTACCATCCACTTCTGCCTCGAAAAACTCAGCCAAGGCGAGCAAGCACCGCAGCACCTCACGTTTTGGAAGGCATTGATAAAGGACCTTGTTGGAAATGTCCGCAACCAGCCAAAGAAACGGGGGCGCTCTTCTGATGGAGACTGTGAAGAGAGACTGAGTGGAAAGAACCACTTTATTTATAAACTCGATGGAAGCAAAAACAAGGACTGCGCCATCTGCAAGAACAGAAAAACCAAGGGGCAACGGCGCGAAACAGTGTTCTACTGCAAAACCTGCACTTGTCAACCTGGCCTGCACCCTGGCGCTTGCTTTGAAAAGTACCACACGCTGCGCAAGTGCCGCTAGCATTTCAAGAACTGAAAGCACCCAGGAAAATGCAGAGTTATTTTCAATTGAACATATTACTATATTAAAATAAAAACGTTAAATTTCAAGTCACTTGTTGCTTCACTTTTGCATAAACTAATTCTGACCTGAGGGGCCGACAAGGGGAAAACTCACATGACCCCAAAAGGTTAAGCGCCTCTCGGCGTGTTCCCGCGCAGACAGTGACAGGCGAAGCATCAGATTCTACGCTTGCTTCGTTGGGCCTTCCTGTCTCGTTGAAAAACTGGATCGAAGTCTGTGTCGATGGCATGCAATCATTGCTATAGCGACTTATTGAGCACTTGCGGTCATACGGAAGCTTCCAAAATTGTGAGCGCGCTCCTAAGCCTTTGCGGAGGGCTCTGCTAGCCGTCACGTCCGCATGTTCTACCGAACGATTTCGGGCGAGCGGTTGGTAAAGGCAGCTCAAGAAACAAATCGACACGTTGAGCGCACGAAACCCAATTCAAATCCGCTTGGATGGCATCAGCATTCAGCACCGACCGACCATTCCCGCCATTTCTGGTAGCGCCTTTGTTCCCGGACGCACCGGACTAAATTATGTCAAACGACTCCAAACGGAACTGAAGCACTAAAGTGCGGTGAACACTCACCTTTATGAATACCTCCTGTTCTTGGTGTTCTTGGAGATGTACGAGAGGTATTTGGCGGCTCTGGCGGTTCGCGATCGACGCCGGCACTCATCCGGCGAAGCTGAGTGCATACATTGTTTTTGTTGTCAACGGCTGCCACTGCGCACGGTCAACCTCGTTCCACTAGAGAACTTGAGCTGCTTCAGCTGGTTATCGACGGTTAATACGTCGCCACTTAACACCTGAACGTAGAACGAAAACAAAAACATTGCCCCCGCGGCCAAGGGCGCCAAGGCGGAACAGAACGGAACCGTACCAGCCAAAATTAAAAAATCAAGCAAGGAAAAAAAAAAAAAAAAAAAAGTAAGTACAAACAAAAACAAGAAAAGTACTTTTTTATATATTTTTACTTTAAAACGTCATCTAAAAATCAACAAAATAACAAAACCGGAAGTGACGTCATTTTTTTTCAGCCAATCAGCGTTTCCAGTTTTACTGCTCCGAAACGCTTGTGTCGGAAGGACTATGGTGCCTGGAACGCGTCTCCGACTGGTGTGTTTACCGCGGCCAAAAAAGTGGTCCCTCGATTTCCGCCTGATGACGTCATAGAAGTGTCATGCTGTCGCCGGTTGCGACCCTGGCGGTGTCCCAATAGTTGTGGTAAGTACGGCAGACGCCTGTTCTGCTGCAGGTCGCTTTCCATTGTGACAGTTCACGGAAGTTAGGACAGCCGGAAGTTGGGACGCCTAAAGCGGATGGATGGATGGATGGATGAATACGGCTGAGCCCTTTGGATCGGGCGGTAGCTTACGCCACCTAGCCATTTTGTTTTACCATTTAAGCTTAGAATATTTAAATGTGAAATCTATATTCACTCCGCAGTGCAAAGAAAGTGAGGCTATGAAACCCCCTTGCCATCAGTGATTAAGAAAATACCTAGTTTTCTCTCGATTTCTGCCACCATTCACTTAATCTTTGCTTGGTAATCTCTACAGTCTTGAAATCCACTCTCCCTTCGCTGTCTCTAAAACCCAATGACTTTATTAAATCTATGTTGTCTTCGGTAAGCATAGGGTGAAGCCCTTTACAGTAGAGTATCAAGTGCTCAGCCGTCTCGTCCTCCTCTCCACAAGCAGTGCACACTGTATCAATTTCCTGGTACTTCACTCTGTATGTTCTGGTTCGCAGAACACCCGTTCTTGCCTCAAACAGCAATGAGCTTCCCCTAGAATTGTCATAAATGCTTTCTTTGGCAATAACTCTTTTGTTTAATCTATAGCTTTCCAGAGCAGTCTTTGTCTGCATTCCCTCTAGCCACCGATCTCTTTCTGTGGCCTTAACTTTCTTCTTAACTGAGACTTGCTCTTCCGTATCTTCGCTATAGCTCAAAAACCTTCCTCTTAATTTCCTAGTGCGCTGTCTCCACTTTGTGTCTACACTCCTCATGTATAAATAGCTGAAAACCTTTCGTGCCCATTGCTCCCCATCCATTAGCCTCAACCTATCCTCAAATTCTACCTTGCTCACCGCTTCCCTGCTCTCAAATGATGCCCATCCCATGTCTCCTTGTACTCCCTGGTTTGGCGTTTTGCAATGCGCCCCCAAAGCCAGTCTACCTACTCCGCGCTGTTTTATTTCTAGTTTCGCATGCACTTCGGATTTCATGCATAGCACTGCGTTTCCAAAAGTCAAGCCAGGCACCATGACCCCTTTCCAAATCTCTCTCACCACCTCATACCTGTTGTAATTCCAAAGTGCTCTATTTTTCATTACAGCTGCATTTCTGTTGCCCTTACCTATTATATACTTTTCATGGTCTCTGAGATATTCTGCACCATCACATATCCATACTCCTAGATACTTGTATTTACTAGCTCTCTCAACTGTAATATTCTGTATCTTCAGCCTCTCAACTTCATCCTCGTTAAAAATCATGACTGCCGATTTTTCGCTACTGAATTCTAAACCTAATTCCTCTCCTTCCCTACCACAGATGCTCATTAATTCCTGCAACTCTGTCCTGTTGTTAGCCATTAGTACAATATCGTCCGCATACATCAATCCCGGTAAGGATTGCTGAATTTTTTGGCCTAGCTTACTGTAAGAAAGGTTGAACCCAAGCCCACTGTTCTCTAGTCTATCCTCCAATCCTCTCAGATACAACATAAACAGCAAAGGCGATAACGGGCACCCCTGCCTAAGGCCTCGTCTTATCTCTATTTTCCCTGTCGCCTTTCCTTCCCATGTTATAATCACCTTGTTATCTTTGTAAATGTTCCTTAATAGTGCTGTTAGTCCTTCATCTAGGTTTAAGTTCTCCATTATGTCCCACAGGTTTCTTTGGTTCACATTGTCATAGGCACCCTTGATATCCAGAAATGCCAGCCAGAGCTGTCTGTTTTCTTTTTGCGCTATTTCTATACACTGTGTTAGAGAAAATAAGTTGTCCTCCAACCTTCTTTGTTTTCGAAACCCGTTCTGTAACTCGCCCAGTATGCCCTCGCTATCTACCCATTCCTCCAGTCTGTTCTTTATAATCTGCATTACCAACCTGTAAATAACCGGTGTCACGGTTATAGGACGATAATTCCTAATATCAGACTTATCTCCCTTTCCCTTATATATCATACTCATCCTACTAAGCCTCCATTCATCTGGAATATTTCCTTTTGTTATCATGGTACTCACTACCTCCCTTAGTTTTGCCTTAGATTTAGGACCCAAATTCTTCACCAGCTTGATAGGGATACCATCTGTGCCTGTCGACGTGCCACTAGGGACTCTTCGTTCCGCCTTTTCCCATTCTCTTTGTCCAAAATCCGCGATGTCACAAACTGGACTGCTACTTCCTTCGGTTCTCCTATCTTCCACATGTACCCGTTCCCGAAATTTTTCCTCCATCACTGCTCCTATATATTGTACCGCATCATCTCCCTCTAATTGATCTCCCTGATGCGAGAGTATAAACCTCTGTCTAGCTTGCGTTGTTTCACCGAGTGAGTTCAAGTGCTCCCAAAACTTCTTGGCAGCATTTCTATCTTCCTTACTTACATTACTCATCCATTCCTCACCCTTTCTCTGAATTTTCGCATTGATCAAACTGGATGCTTCTCGGCGACATGTTACAAAATTGTCCCATTTTCTTTTTACTTCCGTTTCGGACTCCCCACTACGCTTGGAATACCTGTGTTCTCTAGAGGCTTCCTGACGTTTTTGTATCGCTTGCTTCACTTCTTTGTCCCACCAACTTTTTGGTCTATGTCCTTGCTTCCCCTTTCGTTTACTCTTAACTTTGTCTAGTTCTAGAGAAAAAAGCCTAGTTAGGCTCTCATAGGTCCAATCTGTATGCCGTTGCCCTGAAACTGCTGCCTCTATTCTTTCAACAACTATTTCCAACTCTTTGTGGCTGCAGAAAGTTTGCTTTGAATTATGTTGTCTAGTTTCAGCATTTACTTCTCTGGCAAAATTCAGCTTAATACGTTTGTGATCACTACCAAGACTTTTGGAACCTTCTTCATCTATTTTCATTACTTGTAACTTACCATATATTTTGTGTGACATGAGTACGTAATCTATAGTTGAATGCAGATTGCCAGTTTCCCAAGTTATGTGCCCGTCACACTTCTGACTGGTATTACATAAAACTAAGTCATGTTTTTCCACCAGTTCTAGTAATATGCTTCCAGTTGAGTCCGTATACCCATCCAGACCCTCAATATGGGCATTCATGTCTCCCATAATAATTATTTCGGAGCCTTCCCCTAGTTCACTAATGTCTCTTGATATGCAATCAATCATTTTTCTGTTTTCCTCTTTAGCACCTGTCCCTGTCCATAAGTAAACCACTCCAAGGACTGTTGATTCCCCAGCGACTTTTCCTTTCAGCCACAAATGTTCGGCGCACTCCTTTCTGATCCTTTGAAAGTTCATATTCTTCTTAATGAATGCTCCAATTCCACCTCCCTTCCTCGTTCCCTCCATTCTGTTGCATTCTTCCCACACATAGTCAGGGTTGCAAGGTGGCTGCTCCATGTCTCTGAGATGTGTTTCCACAAACCCATACACCATTAAATCCTCCTTTCTTAGTTGCTCCTCTACCTCTTCCCATTTTAACCTATTTCTACCACCCTGCATGTTAATATATCCAATGTCTGATTGTGCTGATTTTTTATACCTGTTCTTACGTTTTCTCCTCTTTTTAACCCTGGGTGCCTCTCCTGACTTTGTTGGGTTTTCAGTTACTTCAGTGCCCCCAGGGCCCTCGGTCCCCCCAAAAAAGCAGTCACCGTGCGGCCCATCCTATCCCCCACCCTGTAACCCGTGGCCTCACTGTAGTGAATGCCATCTGCAAAAGGGCGGGAGCCAGCCTCGTACACTTCTCTGTTTACTTCCATTACGTCGTACCGAAGCTGTCGACTCATACCCTTAATTACTCCGTTGGCTTCGACAACCCTCCTCTCCGTTAACCCGGACTGCCCCCGAACTTCTGGAATGGTGCACACAACCACATGCACATTCTCAGACACGTCCCTCAGCTTACGTATTCCCACGTTTAGCTGCTTTCCGAGGTTCTGGCTCCTACCCTTCAGCACATCATTAAGCCCCGCATGAACTATTACTAGGTTCCTTCCCTCCCGGTTATCCCACACCCCCTCACGTGCTGCGGTCATAGCATCCACCATACACTTCCCTGGCTGGACCTCTACGGTTACCCTCTGGTCTCCCTTCACCCTGTTATGTACACCCCTCCTAACCCGTGCTACGTTAGAGCTCCCCACTACCAGTACCCTAGATCCCCCTGGTGCCTGCGCGCCTTTGTCCTGCGACTTATCTCCTGTCACCTGACTGCCCGACGCCTGCTGCTCGAAGGCGCCATTGAGCTGAGGTTCAATCAGCTCTCCAGCGTCGTCGAGCCCGCCTGCCAACAGGCCGGACTCCCGACCACCAGGGACCCCAGCCTGCAGACTGGTGGTTCGTCCCGCTAGAACTGACACTTCCTCCTTTCTTCCCTCGCTACTCTCACTCGCTCGAATTACCCCTTCCAGGCGCTCTACCCTACTGTCACACTCCCTCTTACGCTCCTCTAAACCCGCCTTCCATACTTCCCCCAGCTCTTCCGCCTGCTTCTCGAGGCCGACCCGCTGCTCCCTCTCATGATTAAGCTGCCTAGTCAGCTCCTCTACCTGGGCCTCGAGACCCACCCGCTTCTCTCCTTCTGCCTTAAGCTGGGCCTCAATCTCCCGAACTCTACCCTCCCATTCCCCAGTTACCCGCTGAAGCTTCACACAAAGCCGAC